AATTTTAGGAGAGGGATTTATTTTAGATATTCTATTGAAGAAATGGGTCGTTCTGTTCTTATCATCTGAGTGAATACAATTATCTGGAGCCAGGTACCGTGGGCTGAATCAGATTGAATATCAAGGAAAGTACATTTGAAAATCAGAACCTTGTTGATCATCCTGAGGAGGGGCACTATCTTCGAATCATTTCTTAGTATCGAGTGGGAACTGCAAGCAATTATTATTGCTAAGAAGAACTGCCTCCTAGGAGGAGATACACCATATTGTTTTGCTGGTAGGAGAACTCTGAGGAGGGATACTCAACAAGTATGGAACATTATCAGCAAGCTTAATTCAAATATTTTAATTACAATGACTGAATTAAATTCTATTGAGCTAAGAACAGCATCACTTGAAATGAAGAACAAACTTTCAAATGTTGACTAATAATTGGCTGAAACTCCTTTAATCTAAGCAAAACCTTAATAAGATATCAAAGTTTAGGATATTCTAGATAAAATCCCTTTTGGGAGATTCCATTATAGATTCTTGCTAATTATATTCCTCCATTACTTCTCAGGGACTTACATTTCCTATAATCTTGGGTATTTGCTGATGTACCCTAAATACCAATGCTAAGTTCATGACACATAAAACTATTAAGAATGCTCTAGAGAGTATATATGTAACAATCCAAACGGGTTGATATGGAAAATTGAAGAAGAGAATCACCTATCTTTAAATAATTGGATTCAGAGGCTAGATTTGATGTGCTCTGATTCAATTCAAATTGGACTATTTGGAACAATAGACTTTCTGTCTCAGCTGTTTACTAGTCTTTTTATTACTCCCTAATCAGATAAATACGGCAAAAGATGGTTCACAATAGCTGGTGCTACGGTTTAAATCCCAGCATTCCTCATCATCCTTATATTTAAATCTACAATACTATTTTATTTCTCTATCATAATCATTGGTATCACATTTGTTAACAAAAACTTTGTGATGTATTCGCACTTTATGGATTATATGGGTGATAAAGGTTCATTTATAACTGGCTGGATGTTTTGCTTGGAATCATTTAACTTTATTATAACCCCTTTCATTCTCTACTACATTTCTAAAGACACCTAAATACTAGCTTATATTGGGCTCATTATGACTTGCATTGTAGTAATTTCTTTCAAGTTTATATACTTTCCTGAATCATTAAAATTCACTATTATTTAAGGTAGATATGAATAAGCCAAAACTGATGTTAAGAAAATCATGTTCGAAAATGGACACAGGTAAACAGAATATAAAATAATTACAGACCTCATTGACTAATATGCAGATTAGCAAATAAAGGTAAATTAATCTAATAGAATAGAAGGTCAATAAGAAAAAGAAAAGCCGAGTATCTTAAAGTTGCTCTAAACTACGAAATATACAATAAGAAATGTTATACTTATGATCATTCTTTGGATTGCTACAAGTTCTTCATTTTTCATGTTCAACTTCTACATTAAGTATGTATAAGCTAATGTATTTCTTATTGGTATTGCAATGGGCTTCTCATGCTTTGGATATTTGTTTTCAGATTTAATTCTCTAAAGAGTGGGATTTTTGAGACTTATCAATATTTCATACACTACAACTTCAGCTATCTTGATCATAATAGTCTTTGTTGATCCAACAAGTATAAACATCTACATCTACGCCTTAATATTTTTGATATTTAAGTCGTTTGTATGCATGAATTACTCTGCAATTTTCTTGGCACATATATACCTCTTTGATTCTAGAATACTCGCTACTAGTTTTGGAATTTGTAGTTTCTTTTCAAGAATATGCCTTTTATTTGTACCGATGATTGTCGAGATTCCGAATACATAAATTCCTTTGATCTATTTGATGGTGATAAATTTTATTGCTTTTGGATGTAGCTTTTTGCTAAAGAGAATAGATCAGTGAAAATATTTAATTAAGAAAAGTGAAAATTAAAAGTAATTTGATATATGTTTCCTTTCTTTTAATAAAAAGTATTTCATACTAAATGATCTTGCAACTATTTTTATGACTCGGGGTTTTGGGGTTTTGGGG